GAACCCTGGTGTGCATCTACCAGCCATGCCAGCTGGAATGGACTGTCCTTCCAGGGCTGGGAGAGCAGCACTGATGGGCTGGGCTGGGACTCAGCACCACCACCACTGTGTGAGCCCCCTCATTGCTCTGCACGGGAATAAAACTGCCAGTGGCCCTGGGAAGGGTTTGGCCACCACTTTACCATCTTCACGATGATGCATTCTGGCTGCTGTGCCCACCCTGCCGCCCACCCCCATCCCAGCCCTGCAGTGCTGCAGGCTGCCAGGGGAGCACTGCCCGGTCCCCCGTCCCTCCAGCCCTTCCTCGCCTCTATTTGGATAACTTTTTCACCCGTTTTATTTATGAGGGCTCCCCTCCTTCTGCCAACACTCTGAGTTTCCTCTCGCTCTGCTCTGGGAGGCCCATCTCGCTTTGTTACACTTTTTATTTCTCTCCCCCTCGCACGGCCCCAGGCTCGCAGGCAGCGGTGCCGGTCGGAGCCTTTGTTCGGCCCCGGGAGCAGATGGGAGAGCGGCCGCGGGTGGGATGGGCAGCGATTCCTCCCCGTCCACCCAACGGCACCCGGCTCTGCCTGCACTTGCCCAAGCTCAGCATGTGGCTCAGTCACTGACTCTCAGACTGAAAAATTAGGAGAAAACCAGGATTAAAAAAAAAAAAAATCAGGAGGAAATTAATATCAGAAATGTTTGCTTGCCTGTGTTTTAGGTCCCCGATGTTCCAGGGCTGGCAAGAGGCTGCTCCCATTAGAGCCAGATGCAAGTGGGCAGAGGAACTTCATCTTAAGTGACTAAAGGGCTTGTCCAGCTCCTTGCATTGCTTCTATCAGGCAAAGCTGGCTGCTTGCTACAGAAATGAGGCTGGCTTTGCACCCTGGGGCAAAGCTGGACACAGGCACCCTGGATGTGGGGGCAGCCAGATCCAGCCATCCTGCACTACCATGTCTCCCAGGCTGATGGGAACAGCCCTTGAGCCTCCCCTTCTCTTGCAAAGGAGGTTCAAGTCAGTCCCAGCAAGCTGGGTGGGCCAGGAGCCATCTCCCACCAGCAGCAGGGACTTCAGCATGGAGGATGCTCAGCACTCACTGCTCCTGGGCCAGCCCTCGCTCCAGGATCTGACACTCAGCACATCTCAGAGCCATCGAGCCTGTTCCACCTGTTCACAAGCATCCTGCATTACATGGCTCCTTGCATGTTGTCCAAGAAGCACCAGCTGGACACAAAGCCACGACCTGCACTGAACAGACCAAAAACTGGGCATTTTTCTGAGTCCAGCTTTGTATGAGGTCCAGTCCCACTTCTGTATCCTGCAGCTCAGAGGCTGGGGTGAACAGAGGTCCTCCAGGGACCTGGCTCCTGTGGGCCTGGGATGCACAAATGAGCAACCTGATAAAAACAGGCTAAAACTCAGCATTTCATAACTGCTTGACCATAGCTGCCTGGTCCAGCCCAGCACAGTGACACTACTACAGACCCTGTGCAGTTCCTACATGTTTCTATTACCACAGGCCATGGATCCACCAAAAAGCTGATGAGCCCATGGCTCACCATGGGGAAATGTGATCTGAAATAAAGTGATCTGCAGAGTACTGAAGTGTTGGGGACTGGGGCCAGGATGCACAGGGCAGCGTGGATGCCACCATAGGGGTGGGTTAGGTCTGGAGGTGGCACCCACAGGAGGCTGCAGGTCTGGAGCAAGAGAAACCACCACCCAAAGCAAGGCCATGAGCAAAGTGTGAGGAGGTGGCCTGGGAGTCCCACAGGCCCTCCTGGCACCTGGCTGGAAGGTGGGCTGGGGGGGCTGCACATGTTCGTAAAGGAAAAGAGAAGCAGGACATGAAAAATAGAGGAAAGGCAAGGTAGTATGATGGAGAGCCACTGAGAGTGATGGAGAGCCATGAGGATCTGATGGAGAGCCACAGGAAGTGATGGAGAGCCATGGAGAGTGATGGAGAGCCATGGAGAGTGATGGAGAGCCTCATAACTGTGACACCTCAACTGCTGTGGCCTCACTCCACACCCTGGCCACATCCAGGGAACTGGTGTTCCCAGATCACATGGGACCAAACCAGCCCCAGCCCTTTGCTGTGCAGCAGCACAGTTGACCTGTCCTGAGGATAACAGCGAGCTGATATCAGCCCGGGCAGGGGCACCTGTGCCCTGGTGCCCATGTGGATTTGTTGGCAGTTGGCACCCAGCACAGCCAAGGAGCAAAGCGGCGCGGGGCTGCTCCGGGATGGTGCCCGCTGAGCCATGCAGGGAGCACAGGCACAGGCCTAGAGAGCATTCCCTGAGGCCAGGAGCCTGGGCAGCAGCGTGCCACCTGATGCTCTGCACCACAGAGGCTGTGGTTCATCCAGGTGCTGCACTCCCTGCTGGGAAACCTGCCCAGCTGTAACGACGGCTCAGCCCCGGCCCTCGGCAGAGCCCAGCACTGGCTGTGCCCGCTGTGCCCGCTCACACAGCTCGGCTGTGCCACAGGCTACCCACAGCCTGAGCACCAGGGCTGGCTGCATGTCCTGAGGCAGCACATCACCTCCTCTAAGCTGCTGCCACTTGTGCTGCCAACCCTCCAGCAGCCCCTCTGCCGGCTTGGGCACGTGCCTTCTTCTTCGGGCCAAGTAGAGCGGGAGAGAGAGAAATCGCATACACAGATGTATTCACATCGCATAAAAAATCAGTCAGAACCCTTTTCCTGCCTCCATCTCCAGCCTTTGCAGGCGCCTGAGCCGGTGGGGGCCAGGCAGCGTGGCGGGCTGGGGCGTGGGGCTGGGGGCTGCTGCCCGCTGGCAGCCCCGGTCCCCGCGAGCGACGCCGGGACGGCAGCGCGGGCGATGGGAACGCCGTACTCACCATATGGAGCCTCCATCTTAGCGCTTAGCTGGGTGCTTACATTGACCATGTCTCGCCGGCTACTGCTATGGGGACTTGGGGTGGAAAAACCAGAGGAAGTAGAGGAACAAAAAAAGAAATCTAAATAAATAAATAAAAATGTCTCTCACTAAGGAACTGGGTGAAGGCAGGAGGGAGCAGCGGAGAGGCAGGGCGAGGAAACCTGCCTCTCCTGTTATCTTATTGATTCGCTTAATCAGGGCTAATGTGGGTGGAGATGTTAAATAGTAACCAAGCTCTTATGGAAACCAATCTGCAAGGTGCCGTTGCTGTAGCTATAGTAACTGCTGCCAAGCTAGAAACTCAAACATGGCTTTTACTGGACTCTTTTGGGGCTCCCGTTTGCAGACAGTGTCAAGGCCGGGGCAGTGGCTGGGCTGGGGTTCACCCCTGGCCACGGAGATGGAGCGTCTGGATCCAACTCTGCAGCGCCCCAGGCACTGCCGAGTTCTGTGCCATCACCCACCCACGGTGGGAAAACCATGTCTGAGCCCACCTGCGGCAAAGGGCAAACATGGCACGGGGGGCCAGGGGCTGTGGGGCAAGTGTGGGGGCTGGCAGGGGCAGAGTGGAGCCTGGCTGAGGCACAAGGGGCAAAATGCCCCGGCCGTGAGTTGGGACTTGTCTGCCTGGTGCTGAACTGGGGGGGGTTGTTTGGGGATGGGGAGCTGCAGGGATGCTGTGGTGGGATGCAGGGTGGTACCCTGAGTGCTGGGCCAGGCACAGGGAGTTTGCAGCTCCTCCCTGTCTCCCTCTGCTCCCCAAACTGGAGGGACTCTCAGGGTGCCCCAGCCACTCACAGACATCTGTGCCTCCCTTTGGGACCGCAGCACCCCAGACCTCATGGTGGCAAATGTGCAGGTGGGGTCCCCAAACTCCCCGTGGGGCTGTGGCAGCCCTTGTGCCACCAGTGGCTCTGTGATGGGAGCAGTCCAGGCTCCTGGGGGCTGCCCTGAGGCAAGCAGGACTACATACAAGAAGGGTTGCTGAGAGGACACCAAATATATGGAGAATTCAGAGCTGGAGCAGAAAAAGTGATTGTCCAGCAGTGCAGAGCCTTCCACATCCCCTGCACATCTCAGGACAGGGCCAGGCTGAAGGAAGTACAAAGGGATCCTCGTCAATCCCAGGACCCCCCAGCACCTCAACTACTGAAATCCTGCAGCCCTGAGGGGACAAACTTAGGGACATCTGCTCCTCTGGATGGAAAAGCAAATCCCAAGGGAGCGTGCAGTGGGAAGAGTGCTGCCAGGATGCAGAGGGCTGTGGCATAGGAATACACAGCTGGATGCTCAGATCCAAGGTCTGGAAATCTGGGGGCCTCTGAGTTTTCTGACTGCTGAGAGGTTCCAGAGAGGGAGGGAATGTGGGCAATGGGGTGAGTTAGGGCAGCAGGATCACATGGAATGGCCTGGGTGGGACAGGGAGTTCGTGGCCCTTCAGCATCACCATCACCTGGTGACCCAGCAGTGCTGGCTTCTCCCACACGATGGAGCAAAGCACCCAGGCATCTCCTGTGCCCAGAGCCCGTGGCCCCACCCAAGGCTTCTGCACCACTTTGCAGTTTACCCTCCAAACCAGAGCAAAGACACTGGCTTGGTGTAACCCCGAGGCTCTGCCTGTGAGTGAGGGAGGACCGACACGAGCATGGGGGTCTCCAGGCTGCTTTATTGGGGGCTCAGAGCTGGGTCCCCGTGGCTGGAAGGGCTGCTGTGGAGCAGGGGCACGCTCGGGGTTCCCCACTTCTCCAGCTGCTCACCATGAGGGAACATCTTGGTATTTGCTTACACCAGACTCTGCCTTAGCACCGAGGGGGGCAGTGGGGAAAGCCCCCCGAGTCTGCAGAGCAGGGACCACGCCAGCCAGCCCCACTCCCTCCATGCACCCCCAAACCTTCCCTATTTCAGAAAATAGGAACCTGAACTATCCCTAGTTCCCCCAAAGTGAGAAGCAACCAGGTGACGTGAGCACTGCAGGAGAGGTGGGTTAGAAAAGCAGTTTCCTACGCGGCACTGGGGATGAAGCAGGTTGGACAGCCGGGCTGCTGGGGGTCAGTGTTTTAAATAATTCTGGTTGACCCCATTCCCGGGGTTCCTCCTGGGGCTGCAGCCCTAGAACCAGCTGACTTGGTTGGATTTGACTCCGGAGAAGCACATGTTGTTGGAGCAGCCCCGGCCGTAGGTGGGGGGGCAGGCTGAGCACGGCCGCCCCACCTTGTACGGTGCTTCTCCCAGCCAGTTGCCCCTAAAAAGAGAGGAGGGCATCACCTCTGAGCACCAACACCTCTACTTGTCACCGGTGAGAGGAGGGAGGATGGCAGGGGGAGGGAGGTTCCCTCCAGGCACTTACTTGATGGCGTAGTTGCAGACGAGGAGGATGGCGTGACGCCACGTGCTGCCCCACACCTGCACGTTGGCACAGGTGCCCAGGGCACAGCCCAGGCGGCTGGAGGTTGCCCACACCATCTGTTCCAGGACAGAGAACAGGCACTGTAGATGTCCATCCACCCAGGCATCCCGCAGACCATCACCTCAAGACCCCAGAACAGGGCTCTGTCCCACCAGGGCATCACAGCCCACCTGCCTGAGTCTCCTTGGCAGGTGCTGTCCCATCACGGGCAGTGCTTTGTCACCAGAGGGTGACTTTTTGCTCTCCCTCTCCTGCCTGCAGCCTGCACTGCCCTGCAAGGGGCTGCCTTGCCAAGCTCACAGGAGTGAGCAGCAGCGTCTGGGTCACTTCTCCAGTTTACCCAAATTAGCTCCCAGACCTCACCCTGAATCATGGCCAGCAGCTTACCCTGCACACAGGGAGGTCGAGCAGAGACAGAAGCTCCTCCTAAAGCCTCCCCAGGCTGACTTTCTTCCTTAAAAACTGTATATTGCCCTTCTGCAACTCCGAGAATCCCTGAGCACCCCCATAGAGGAGCCACACGGGGATGCACGTGCTCAGGTAAAGGCTGGAGCTGTGCAGAGGAGGTAATCAGGGTTTGGTACAGCTTTGCTACCGAGCACAGGAGCAGGGGAGTTTTTCACCTTGTGCTGGCCAGGCTGTTGGGGGATGTGCCAGGGGATGAAGGGGCTGCATTCCCGGGGAGGTGAACACAGCTGGGTGCTGTAATTGTGCTCCATCACAGAGGAGAGGGTTCACACTTGGCAAAAGTACAAAGGGGCTTTTTTTTCCTCTTCACTCACCACCTTCGAGTTACCAGTGGTGTAGTAAGGGAAAAAAGGCCAAAGCAGGGGAAAAAAAGCCTTAAAGTAATGGAAACCTCCTTGCCAACAGGCCAGAAGGGCCCAGCTGCTCTTCAGTGGGTTGTGAGCCCCTGGGACCTCCCTGCAACGGCCTGAATCCTGCAAGGCTCCGGGACAGGAAGGCATTGCCACCGGCAGACACGCTGCCAGGATCTGAAGCTGGCAGCTGCCAGGATTTGATCCTGGATCCCAGCTGCTGCTGGGAGAGGGGCTGTGAGCTGCACAGGGCCCCCCTCTGGGGTCCCGGGGGCTGTGGGGGCTGCAGGGCTCACCTGCGTGTAGTGGCTGCAGACGGAGCCGCTGCACTTGCTGGGGCAGCGGGGGCTGCACTCGCGGGGGTGGGGGAAGGAGTAGTGCTGCTGCTCCTGGTGCCAGGATTTCACCATGTCCGTGACCGAGCGGTACCTGCGAAAGGCACTCCATGTGGACCTCCCCCACACCAGAGGCTGTGGGTGAAGGAGAGGAAGGGAAGGCTCCACATTGAGGAGAGAGAAACAGTTTGGAGCCAGGGCCTATCAGGACCAAGCATTCCTGGGGGAGAAGGGGGCAATGAAAGCCTTGTGCCAAGCCCGCTTGTGCCCAAGGCCAGAAGACCTGGACCTTCATGGAGACACCTGAGCTCTCAGCCATGTGGTGGAGATTTAGGACCCACATCTCCCTGGTCCCTGTGCCTGGCAGAGACAGGAGTAATGCCCCACTTCTCAAATGAACAGAGGGCACCTCTGCTTTCCTATATTTACCCTTCTGCAAGAGCTGGACCCTTCTCCACCCCAGAGGGGCTTGGTGTGCCTCTCAGCTGCATCCCAGTCCTGTGCAAGCCCAGCTCAGAGCCTCTCTGCTTCTTGACCACAGGGCTGCTGCTACTCCTCCTCTGCTGTGGGGTCTGGGGGGTTCCCAGGAGCTCATTCTGCCCCCAGGGCACTCACCTGCCCGACTGGATGGAGAGGTTCTGCCCCACATATTTCATCAGCTCAGGGGGCCCGTGGTCCCACAGGCAACGCGCAGCCCACGCCTCTGCTGCCCTGGCCAGCCGCTCATCCCACACCTGGCCAGGGGAAAGGAAAAGGGCAGCCAGGAATCTTGGCTTCCCAGAGGAGGGAAGAGGAGAAACCTGCTCCATTGTGCTCAGGGGGCTTTCTGAG